GATATGCCCCCTCCCAACCCCCGTTGTCCATGGCCACTGGCTAGGCCCATAAGTATGCACACAAGTCCTTTGGTTGATCTCTTCCCCTTACCCCCATCCTCCCTTACTTTCCCTCTGATTGTTTTAATATTGAGATCATGATTCATTTATTTTAATTTGGGGAAAAGAAATGAAAAAAGGGATACAAAAATCAAGTAAGTTAATCTTTTAAATTTATCTTTATTGTTGAAAGTAATACAGATGTCCCCTTGGGGTCTTTTTCCTCATTGACCTCCTCCCCCTGCCCCTCCCAGAATACTGTAAGTATTCTTTTGAAATAACTTTAAAGTACAAACAGCATTAAATTTTTGAAGCATTAGTGAGTCAAGCAGAAAGTCTATATGTTTCTTAGTTACACAACTCACAGAAATAATTAGGCATACATTTTCATGATTTCATGTCATTTCAAAAACAGAACCCAGATTACTTTTCCATACGCATCTTTAAAGAACTGCGCTTTCACTTTCCCTTCCAGAAGGAAATACGATAGAGATGCAGTATCGGAGAAGAGACTTGATCAAAATGGAAATGAAAAAGAGGTCGGGCCGGGACCGGTTTGGCTCAATGGATAGAGCGCCGGCTTGGGGACTAAAGGATCCCGGGTTCGATTTCGGTCAAGGGCATGTACCTTGGTTGTGGGCATATCCCCAGTAGGGGGTGTGCAAGAGGCGGCTGATCGATGACTCTCTCTCATCGATGTTTCTAACTCTCTATCTCTCTCCCTTCCTCTCTGTACAAAATCAATAAAATATATTTAAAAAAAAGAAAAAGAAAAAGAGGTCGGAAGGAGGGATATTTGGTTTCAAAAATTTAACATGAGAAAATACCCAAGTTAAGAAATATGGCTAGTGCCTCTCAGCACAAATGCTGAAATGACACAGAGCGAAGACTCCTGGGGCCAGCACCGGAGGGGATGTGTGGAGAGGGAGCATGCACTGTGTTTTAGAGGAAGGTGAATGGAGAAACAATTGATGGTGCTCAGAGCTCAGCCCTTTGACCATAATTTTACTACCATCATTTAATAAGGGACAGACCATATGGGGTTTATGTAGTAAATTGTACTGGGATCTACTTCCTTCATGTAGAATCCTTTGTTTGTGTCACTGAGAGGATAAATGAAGACAACCAAAGTTGCCTCCTGGAGAGGTGGCCCTACTCTTTCCTTGTGCTGCAGGGCCGTCTGCTCAGGGGAGAGAGACCCCTCTACAGCCACAGAGTGTAAAGTTCTATGATGGGTTGTGGAGTCAACACATGTCCTGTTCTGGCCAAAGAGGTGTATGGACAAGCCTGCTGGAGGGCTTCCAGAAATGTTTTTCTCCCTGATAAACAGCGGCAACCCTTTTTCTGTCTCTCCATACCTGGTGTGAGAACCTGAAAACGGAAGCAAATGCTGCCATTTTGTAGCCACGAGAGGAAGGAAAGCCAGGAAATTCACAGGGAAGCCACATCAAAGGTCCATCATCACTTAGTGCTCAGAAGAAACTTACCCTAGTTAGAACTGCTATTCACACTCTGAACAAGGCATCAGATTTTGATTAACAAAATCCTTTGGGGCTTGGCCTCTCCTAGAGAAGATAGTTTATGTTTGAAGATATGGTGACATGTTGAGTAACTAGACCCTGCAAAAGATCCAAAAGGACTGTAGTCACTGGTGTAATAAGACAAAGCAATTGTTTGCCTACTTAGCCAGAAGGAAATGTGAGGTTTCTTTGAAGGCTTGAGATATGCACCTCAGAATTGAAATACTTCATGATTGCAGTAGTTTTTTGTAAGAGTTTACTGAGTCAAACTGATGACATATGCCAGGAATAAGATTTCAAAAGCACTTGATGACTATGCTATTTATTTGAGTTTTTCAAACACTTAAAGCATGAACTAGGTCACCACATGACCCATTTTTACTTCAACATTCAAAACCAATATATCTTTATGGCCAGTCTCCCTTCTGGCTCATGACTGGCATTTTCAAATTTTAAATAAGCAAAAATCTTCTATCTTTTAAGAACTCTCATTTGATCCTATATTCCACCAACTATTGCCCTCTTTTTTAAGAAAAAATATATATTTTATTGATTTTTTTTTTTTTTTTTTTTTTTTTTTTTTTTTTTTTTTTTTTTTACAGAAAGGAAGAGAGAGGGATAGAGAGTTAGAAACATCAATCAGCTGCCTACTGGTGATGTGCCTACAACCAGGGTACATGCCCTTGACTGAAATCAAACCTGGGACCTTTCAGTCCACAGGCCGACACTCTATCCACTGAGCCAAACCAGTTTCGGCCCAACTATTGCCCTCTTACTCTACCAATACTTTCACAGTCAATGGACAGTTTTCAAACCTTAGCTTGCGTGTCCTCTTGAAATTCCTTTATTCTTTGGATTCCACAATAATTCTTCTGGTTATTTTCTGTCCCATCTCCTCCCGGGTCCAAGTACACCTGCTTAATCATTCTTCACATAAAAGCTGGCAGCGTATCACTAGGAAAGAGAGGAGGTAAGATCATAGGGGCTATGAATTATTTGGTAAATTGTGCTTTCTTTAGTAAAGCTGTCCAATAAAACTTTCTGTCATTGAACACTTGAAATTTGACTAATTCAACTGAGGAAATGAATTATTAAGTCGATTTAGTTTGCATTAATTGATACAGCCACATATGTCAAATGTCTACCATACTGAACAAGGCAATGAGTCTTTTACACAAAGTGTGGTCCATGGATCAGCAGCTTATGTGTCACCTGGCTGCCAGTTAGAATTCGGGCCCCTACCCAGATCTACTGAATCAGAATCTCCAAGTGATTCATAACCATAACATTTGAGAAACATTGCTCTAGAAGGTAATTTTTAAAGCACTACAATGACAAACACATGTATATGTAGCCTCAAACAGCTTCTGGATATTATTATACCATGAAAAAGATTCTGTCTGTGGATTTTCATGTCAGGAAGTCCCTCTGGATATTGAAGTACATGATATCTCTCATTTCAGAAAGCAGTTGGGTTTAATCTATTGATCTGAGTTACATCTCACTCTTCAGTCTAGCATGTGATATGTCATGTGTTAGTAAAAACACCTGTTCTTTTTCTGTGTTCTGAAGAAACATTATGTTCCTTTCATAAACAAGTAGTATAAAGCAGAGCAAATAAATAAATAAATAAACCACATTACACTGTAACCTCCAAAGAAGTAACCTGCTTTTTTATACTGAAATCAGATCGGTATTGTAAAGTCGAAAAGATGATTTATACAAAGCATTTAGAGACTCAAGCTAAAAGAAAGATTGTAGGGAAAGTTTATGTTGAATAAAACATTTCCTCACTATTGATTGAATGTCTCCATGCTCTGAAATGCTTCTATACTGTTAGGAGGCAAATGACCTAAAACACAAGACTCTTGGAATATGGTAAAGCCTCTATTGTTATGACCTGGGAGATGGTCAGATGGTCACCTCTGGTGGCAGAGCAGGTCCCAGAAAACTTGTAGAAATAAAGTTAAATTTGAAGACTATCTTAGGCTAATCACCATGTTAATTCCTTATTCTAACATTGTGTGGGGCTGGGGCAGAGAACTATATTGAAAGAATAATTTTAATCTGCTAGGATTTCAGAAAATAGTTTTACTTAAACAATAAGGTCCATTCCAAAAATAAGATCCCAGACATTCCAGAGAAGATGATGGGAAAGTAAGCTACAGATGAAAGGATCACCAGAAATGATCTCAGGTTCGCTATGTGTTCATCATGGTGCAGTAGACACAACAGTGATGTGGTTTTCACCTTTATCTGCTCCCTTAATAGCCCTGCGGCCTATGGTAGTTTTCGAAACTCTGAATTGTGGTGGCTTTATCTCTTAAATAAGAGGGTTGTACTAGTCTGGACTAGTTGATTTCTAACTCTCATATTGAGGTTTTGTTATTTTTCTTTAAAATCTGATAATTGCTTATGGAAAAAGACCTGAATTCTGACTATAGTGGGAAAAAATATGGAATACATACATTCTTCTAACTGTGCTGTAAATATAAATACATATAATTCAGTACTTTGAAATCCTTACATAATCAATGTGAACATTTAATTTGTGTGCTGGACATAGTTACAAATTATAACTGAATTTCATTTTTATGTTCCATTCTTGGTCTCTTCTCATTGCCTAGTTTAGTTCTCCATCGCATGATTTTAATGGGAATGTGCTTTATTCCTCTGATTCCAGGAACACATTTATATCTGTAAAATGTAGCCTGCCAGAAAATATGCCCAAATTCAGAATATAACCTATATATTTTTTATTTTTTAATTAATTTAAGGATATACATATTTTATATATAGTATCCCCAAAAATGTATACATGCTTTGAATAACTATCCTATATAATAAAAGAGTAATATGTAGATTGACCATCACTCCAACACACAAGATGACTGCCCCTATGTGGTCAAAGATGGCTGCCCCCATGTGGACACAATATGGCCAGCAGGGAAGGGCAGTTGGGAGGGACCACGCCTGCAAGGGAGGACAGTTGTGGGTGATCAGGTCAGCAGGGGAGAGCAGTTGGGAGGCACCAGGCTTGCAAGGGAGGGCAGTTGGGGGCAATCAAGCCTGCAGGGGAAGGCAGTTAGGGGTGACCAGACTGGCAGAGAAGGGAAGTTGGGGGCAACCAGGCCTTCAGGGAAGGGCAGTTGCGGGGGACCCAGGCCTGCAGGGGAAGGCAGTTAAGGATGACCAGGCCTGCAGGGGAGGGCAGTTAGGGGCAATCAGGCAGGCAGGCAGGCAAGCAGTTGGGAGCCAGAAGTTGGACATTCCTCGAGGGGTCCCAGATTGGAGAGGATGCAGGCTGGGCTGAGGGACACCATCATCCCCTCCCTCTATGTACGAATTTCATGCACTGGGCCTCTAGTGAATATATATATATATATTTATAATTGGTTGAACAATTGTTTCCATGTGAAATTTTTCCAGCCTAGTTGAGTTGGTACAAACTTGCTTTTGATAGTAAGAATTAGAAATTACATCTTCTATTGAGAATTTTTCTTGAAATATGGCTCCATTAGGTTTTGATTCTGTTTTATATCTCTGTGACTACAACTACTATCAGACATTTCTATAGCAAATCATCAGGTGGGAATGATTCTCATTCTTTTCCAAAGCAAATGGAAACAATATCAGTTGTTACCTTAATGTAGGCCATAATGAACTTGCTATACAGGTGACAGAGTTGTGGTCCTTTTGAATTCCTGAAACTGAACAATAATATGATTTCGACCTGGGTTTGCCTGTAACTTCTGAAGATATGTTGGTTTCCTACACTTTTATGTGTACTAAACACAATATTTCTTTAAAAGTATGCTAGAGTTCTTAGTACAGCTAAACATGACTATCAAGTTAGTGCAGGAAGTGAGAAGGTTGATGCAAGAAAATGAAAGATTTCTGAGAAAAACAAAATGAATGCTCTTACTGAAATGACATCACCAGAGGGTCAAGTTTTGAAAGATCCATCTCTCCACATGACAGTTAATGAAGGAAGACAGTCTTTGGAAATTGAAAGGCAAAGATAAAAATATTTTTAGTTTATTGCCGAGAATATGGAAGTCTCACAGAAAGTACTTCTTCAGGTCATTCTTATTTTGGATGTGAAACATTTTGGATAAAACATACAAATGTGATTTTCAAAAAAAGCATTTGGAAAAAAAAAAACCCTGTAATTTTTTTTTACACTAATAGGAAAAATTATTCCAAATAAATCATCAATAGAGAAAATGCAAGTTCTTACTTATAGAAATAATGTTGAAACTGTTTAACCACAAGCTATAGAAATAAACATCCGTTTGTGCTCAAGTCAGTTTATCTGGTCCTCCATCTTGACTACGTCACTTCAGAAACCTCTGTCCACAGCTTGAACTACTCCCCAATTCATCATTCATCCCAGGTCTCTCTTGACTGCTGTTGGTAGTAGAGCCTTGGTTAGAGCAAACTGCTCTTACTGCCTGCCCTGATGTGGGTCACCAAGTGACCAGGGTGCCTTGGGTCTTCCACCAGAAGCAAATCATAGGAGGAAAAGAACAAGTAAGTAGTTTGGGTAGTAATTTGTTTCTTCATAGAAAACAGATTTAGAAATTTTAATACTTTTTTTTTGTGTGTGTGTGTGTGTGTGTTTAAAAAATATTTTTAATTGATTTTTAGAGAGAGAGAGCAAGGGAGAGAGAGAGAGAAACATTGGTGCAAGAGTGTAACATGGATAGGCTGCTTCCTGCAAGTCTCCAGCTAGGGACTGAGCCTACAATCCGGGCATGCCCCGACCAGAAATCCAGGAATCAAACCAGTAACCTTTCGGTACATAGGATGACACTCAAGCAAATGAGCCGCACTGGCCAGAACTTAGTATTTGGTTTTAATGAGCAAAGAAATGGCAGGCTATGGAGGATAATGTTGGGGCTGTGGTAGTCATAAGGGTAAGATTCACCTTCTCCCTTTCCTATGCATTTATCACTATGCAGGTAAATATCCATAAGACAATTCTGGGAAGCAACTATAAAAGACAGGGATCTTGTGTTTGTGAAAGATCTTTGTGCACATTGGAGGGGAGAAGTAACATTGACACTTGGATGAACTATGTCAGCGAACCTGTTATGTTCTTTGTAGATACAATCTAACATACTTCTCATAACCTTCTTGCAAAATAGATCTTCCTATTTTCATATTTACTGCTGAAGAGACAACTTTATAATAAGTATTTGTCCCATGATTAGCCAGCTAGTAAGAAGCAGTGCACCCTGTTTCTCAATGTGTGAAACTGATAGAGTAATTTAGGTTCTCAATACTTTAAAATAATTTCAAACTTAAATCTTGTCTGCTTAGACTTGAGGACTGCCAAAATGTTAAAACTAAGTTGGTATCCTACTTGTTGTATAAGCATTATATATTTTATATATGTGTACTTTATTAGAATGTATCTTTCAGCACATAAAATTTAGGTTGTGACACAAGTTATAATTAAGATTTTAAACTACAATAAACCCTCAACTGAGGATATTAAATCTTCAAGTTCCAGTATAATTTTTCACAAACAAAACCAAGATATTCTAAGACGATTCTGTTGTAGCAGAAGAGAAATGTTAAGATATTTAAGATGTTCACTGTGGAATAACTTCTTCTTCAGGTACAATTGCTCAAATTCTGATCTGGCCAGGTGGGCAGAAGATACATGAGGAAAATGGACGCAGACACTTTCTGAGGGGAAAGTCTGATCAGTGCTGATGCCTCAGGTTTCATACTGTCTAATCAAAGGTCTGAGAAATATTTTTAATTGTCAGATATTAATTACATGCTTATTGATGCAACAACAATTTTATGTAACATAACTGTGTGTCTACCCCTATGGAGAGTAAGGAGAAAGGGGTAAACAATGTCTTTTTTAAAATATTATTTCACCATAAGAATCATCACTTTTTAAAATTTATCTTTATTGTTTAAAGCGTTATAGATGTCCCCCCTTCTTCCCCCCTCTGACATCCTCTACCCTTTCCCCACCCTGTCCCCAAGAATCATAACTTTTATATGGATTTTTATTTCCGTTATAAAGCTGTCTCAAACACACTAACTCATTTAGTTTTCTAGTAACCTTTTAAAGTAAGCAGTATGGCCATTCCCATTTCATAGCTAGAGCTCCAGGCACATCCCCACAGCAGCTAACTGGCAGGGTTGGCCCTTACTTGCAGAGGGGTAAATTGCCAGTGTTCTTCCTGCTACACAGTCACTACCCCTATGCATCCACACCCAAAAAACTCGGATAAAAACTCAATAGAACCTACTCTCAAACCCAAACTTTTTACCAAAATGTTAGCACATCAGTCTAAAAGAAGATTCAAGATTAGGAAGAAGAATGTAGGTAATGTACACTGAGTGGCCTGATTATTATGATCTCTGAACGCATAATAATCTGGCCACTCAGTGTATATCCTATATAATAAAAGGCTAACTAACATGCAAATTGTCCCCTCGACAAGGAGTTCCACCAGCAGGCAGGCCGGCCAAGCGCCCATGTCCCCTCCCCCTGGCCAGGCTGGCCGGACCCCACCCATGCACGAATTCATGCACTGAGTGGCCAGATTATTATGCATTCAATGTATATTCTATGCTGCTCCTTGCTAAAAAATTATTCACAGGAAATATTTTTAAACGTTGTCTGATACACCTTCTTACAAGAATTATACATGATTGAGACTGTCTTCTCTACACAAATTGGATTTTCTGACAATAGAAGGGATGGTCTTTATAGATCTGACATGAATATGCACTGTGAGCATACTGACCTGGCCTTTATTAAAACATTTTTATTTTTTCCATCATGATTTTTTTGCATTGATTTTGATTCTAAAGATATTGCATTAAAATAGTATTGATTGTGATGACTGCGTTTTTGACCTTTCCTTAAATTTCATGCTAGAGGCTAACGTGTCTTAGGCTGATCCTGGCCTTGATACTTGAGCCTAGATGTGGGGAGCTGCCCTGAATGCAGGGGTCCTATATGCCTGAATGCAGGCATGGGTGTAGGACACAGCTCTCCATGTGCCCCCCTTTCCATTAACCTAAGTGGAAAATTACTGCTACCCCTAGGAATGCTGCTAACTGCAGATGTCTTTGCTTTAGGGTAAAACAATTGATAGGAGCCTGCTGACAGAGAAGGAGCTGTAAAAGGAGTTGTAAAAGGTCAGGTGGTTGTAAAAGGTCAGGTGCTGAAGGAACTTATCTGTACAGGAACTCATCATGTTAGCAGAAACAGCCACCTGCATGATTGCTTGAAATAAATATTTCCTCCTTCAGAATTGTATTTAAAGGTTGGAAAAATAAAATTCGCTGCTGCAGACCTCGGGTCTGAGCCCTCCCGACCCCATCTGTTCTTGTCTGTCTTTTTCTTATCCTCACCCCCACATTCAGGTACTGTTCGTTGCCTGCAGGTTCCGGCACCTAGACATATAGGTTAATAGAATACCTGAGTATATAGTCAAATTTTATATTTTAAAAAAAACAACACCTTATTTTTGTAATTTTGTACCTTTCAACTCTATTTATTTAATATGTTTGGATAATCAAGTGGAGCCTCTGACAATATTTATTGGATACAGTTTTAGGTTTGTAAATAATTGGCTAGGATTGCAAAACTCAATACTATTAATGTGCAGTTGCTGTAAAGTTTCAATATGCTCATTATACTTTTGTAAAACTTTTTATTTAAGGGTTTGTGGTCTTCTAAGCATTTTGTGGTGAAACATGGATTCAATCAATGCAACCAACCCATCAAACGCATACTGCATCTCAAGCGCACACTGCAGGATGATTCTGATAATCATCTACGGCATGGTTTTGCTTGGAGGTACTATTGGAACAGTATTGATGTCACGTTTGATGTTCAAAAGGAAGAGCCGATCAATGATGGCCACTATTGTTCTTAATATCATAGTGCTGCACTCAATCCTCTTAGTCAGCCTTCCGTTCCGCCTCAGCTATTATGTATTACATGTCTGGAAGCTTGGATCCTTTACCTGCCGGTTGGTTAGCAGCATAGTGTACTGTCATATGTACTTGACCTTTGTTTTCTATGTGGCCATTGTCATAATCCGATTGCTCATCTATTTTAACAAACTCCAAATGCAAGAGTTACAAAAGTACCATGCGGTAGTTTTAAGCATTTTCATTTGGATGGTGGGTAGCCTAATTTTTCTGCCAATATTTTTTTTATTATATGGCATAGATCCAAGTTACTCAGGATATCGATGTTTTGAGTTCTACAAAGATTTCAACCGCAGGAAAGTCATTATTGTGAATTATTCTATGATTGTCATTATGATTACAGTGGTCATGACCCTCTTTCTGATACAGGTGGGTGTCATCGTTCAACTGATCAAGGCTCTTTCTCCTTGTGTGTGGACCCATCAAGAGTTTAGAGCTCAAATCAAGAGCTTCTTTTTCCTTATAGTAATAGTTGTCTGTTTTGTACCCCACCATGCATTCCGGATACACTTTATTCAAAATTATTCAGGGACAGAAAATTCAGAGCTAGTTCTTTATAATGAAGTTTTTATTGCTTTAACTACTCTCTGTTGCCTGGATATGCTGTGTTTCATAGGTGGAGTTATTCATTAAACAATGTTATGTCACTTGCTTTGTAATCAGTTTTCCATCACTGTAACAAAATAGTTTCAATTAAATGGATTCTTCTATGATTTTAAATTTTCTGCATTTAGTCATCACCAAATTATTTTCCATGAAAAAGTATGAGTTTATCTGTTTTCTTTCTTCTCAAGAGAACCTTTGTCTATTCTCTATTAACTACATAATATAGTTCAATGTTCTTAGCTCTGCACAAGTTGACCCTAAACATCCCTTTGAGATTTAACCCTACCTCTTTTTTCATGCACTATTTATTTCTGCTAAGCACAGCTATTGGCTTTCCCTATATACCATCCAGGCTGTTTCCCTTTTTACATTTACTCTCATGGAGCTTTAGTCTTACAACGTTCTTTTTCTCAATCTCCAAACTATCTATTCTTTGAGGTCCATAGAACCTCAAGATAATGACTCTATAGGAACCTTAACTCATTCAATTTATGTTTATGAAGATGACTGATAGCTAGTAAGTCTCACTGCTGCTGGCTGTGATATTTGGAGGAAAAGAATATCTCAAATAGTTAAGAGATTTAGAGGAAACCCTTTCAGAATTGAAGGGAAATTGATGTACTTTGATTCTTACTAAGACATAGTAGGTATCAGAAAGCTGAGAATGCCTCCCAGACATGTATTCATTAAGCAAGAAATTTTAAAAGGTAGAAGACATTTGGATGTAGTCTAAGCATGATAGATGACTTATTAGAGCTCAAAACCTTGAGACTATGGGGCTATTATTAACCTGTTCAAGTTACCCTACATGACCAAGTAGTGTTACATAATTAAAATCAACACTGGTGCCCTGGCTGGGTGGCTCAATTGGTTGGAGCATTGTCCCATACACCAAAAGGTTGCAGGTTTGATTCTCTATCAGAGCACATCCCTAGGTTGTGGGCTTGGTCCCCAGGAGGGGCGTGTATGGGAAGCAACCAATCAATGTTTCACTCTTACATCAATGTTTCTTTCTCCCTCCCTCTCTTTCTAAAATATCAATAAAAACATATCCTCAGGTGAAGATTAAAAGAAAGCCAATACTGGTATCAGTTAAATGAAATAAAAAACAATAAAGACAACCAACTCGGATTCTAGTTATCTGACATAAAAATTGACATGCTCTTTTGCTTTGCTTATAATGATGCTGCCTTCAAGACTAAATTCAATGACTCAAATAACCAAACAATGCCCTTACTGGTTTACAAGGCAGCATAGCTAATACAAGAGTTTTGGAGTCATCTGGAGACCTTGATGGTTAGTAACTATGAAACCGTGGGTGAAGTATTTATATTAGTGGCAAAACAGCACCAGAATGTGCTGAGCTATTGGTATTTTTATTTTATTTTATTTTATTTTATTTTATTTTATTTTATTTTATTTTATTTTATTTTATTTTTTTATTTTATTTTTGCTAATGGGCTGGGTTTGGCTCTTGGGAGTTACCAGTAGAAGATGCCATCCTGAGGGAGGAGTGAGGCTGCAGGATTTATTCCTCCCCTATTGCATCACCACAGTGCCAGCCTAGTCTGCAGCCCTCCGGGCTACTGCTCCTGCCAGAGGCCTTTGGGTTCCATTATGGACTTTTCTCCCTTTGTGACTTCAGGCCTAGATGCACTGTTGCTAGTCTCATTCCCTTCTCGGAATGTCTGGTGGCCTCAGCAACTCTCCTTGATGCAATGCTTAGCACAGCTCAATTCCTCTGGGAGTTAAGCTGCCTCCTGAGTTCGACTCCTCCTTTTTCCTCTCACTGTAGGGCTGGTAGCTACTCCTGCCACCTCCCAGGGGTATGTTGGCTGCCATGACCATCATTGCACAATGACCTGCCTCACTGCCCAGCATAGGGCTGCATTCCTGGATTGGGGAAGTGTTTCCCAGACATAGATACTGTTTGGACTCAGGAACATAATACAGAGGCCTTTATATGAAGGAAGCCGAATTGATCACAATGAACCATTACATTTTCTTTCTCCTCCTCCTCCTCTCCCAACGACTTTTAGGGCTATTCTGCTAGGCCTTATTTTCCCACTCCAGATGGTATATCCCACTCCTAGAAATATCTTCCAAGCTGGAACTATAATCTGGTTCTTTGGGGAACTCCATTTGGAGATAACTAATAAACCAAATCTTAAATTCATTTCTGAGAAATATTAAATTTTGACTTCATAAGAGAATTTTTATTTATTTAGTTTTTTGCCACTGTGCTATCCAAGGTCAAAAAACTATTGGAAAATAATCTAGGGAGGCAGAAAAGTTGGTTATGGATTGAGGGGACTGTATTAGATACTAATAAAAATTATGTCACGCTGGGCTCTTTAGGGGCCACAGTAGAGGGAGTAGTGGTCTCAGAGTTTAGACCTCAAGGCAGCAACCTCAGCACTTGCGTTCTGGCTAAGAAAAAAAATCAGATCCAAGACTCCAGTTATAAGAGAGAGTTGATTTAGAAAGTCACAGAAGTAGAAAAGATGAGCCAGCTGGGCAGTGTGGGCTCAGGAAATAAGTTACAGTGGCAAAAGAGCCCTTGGAGCTGAGGAGAAAGGCAAAGAAAGGTCAGATGCCTGGGGGAAAGTAGAGGGAGGAGAGGAAGGCACAAGCACTGCACTCTCCAGTGAGATTGGGCTGGGGAGCAGGGAAGGGAGGCGTGGGTGTGTTCAATAGTGGGAGAGTTCATGCTGGGTCCTTTGTCTTAAGGTTTTTGTCTGTTTTCCAAAGGTGGGCATTCTAGGGGAGCTCTTAGGGGAGGAATATTTAGCAGCTTTCTTCCTGATGCACCAAAATGAGATTTATTCCCCTGGCTTCATTCATACCTCAGTGTGGTTGGCACAAATGGCACTAATTGATTTTGATTATCAATTAAATAGCTAAAATCACCAGAGTAGGGTGATTTTAGCTATTTACTCTCCGGTTAGATAAACAGCTCTGAGAAGTATAAACCATTTATTCTTAAATGTCCTTGGTTAGGGAAGATAGGATTTTGTGATTCACTAGATGGCTGTGAACTGCTTGGCTGTTTAACTACCTGTCTCGGTTTCCCTATTTTACTTGTCCTGGCTTACTAACTTGTCTCAGTAGGGTTTGTGTTAGGGAAGAGGAAAGAGAACCCTGCTCTGTGCCCAGACTAATCTTGGAGGGAGTGTTCCTCTCTGGGTACAACACTGGGACTCACGTTGAATTTCCAAAAGGATCTAAGCACAGGCCTTTAACTCTAAACCCACAGAAGTTTTTGTATTGGGAGCCTTTGAGATTCTGCTGAGAATGGGACTGAGACTGAGAAGAAGAAAAATCTATCCTGAATGACCGTGATGTCTGCTTGGAAGTGGGAAGGTGAGGGGTGGCTCCCTTGCTACACATGGATCAGCTTTGCCCTGTGCCACGCTGTTGGGCTGCATTGTCAGGCTTCTAGGAGGTCCGTTCACCCCTGAACAGAAACCCTTTAAAGCTGGGAAAGACGTAGGTGCAGGACCTCTTGGGGAGCTGTGAGTCCCAAAGCTTTATGTATCTTACGAGCGGGGATGTGTCATGTTGGAACTGTGAAAGATGACTGACCAGAAAAAAGTCAATGCTGAGCCCCATTGGAGAGGATTAATCCTCCAAACTGGCAAGGGCTGGAGGGCTTTAGAGGCTTGGTGGCAGGATGTGGTCAGAGATGTTTGATTTCAGAGCGAGCTGCTTCTCAGCTGCCACCACAGAAGTGCAGATAGCCACCATAGGGACTTTTTGAACAGTCACTCATATATTATTATGTATAAAATTCAAAGGGTTCAACAGTAATGTCATGAGTTGTTTTTATAAATATTTACAAAGGAGCACTTCGCATAAGAGCTTTAGGCAGAATATATTAAAATGGAGAGTTCTGATTTAGATTTTACCGAAGAAATGAAATAATAGTAACAAGAGAGAAACATCTCAGAGCTCTTATAAATTTAGGGAATTTATCCTTTTAAAACTAGGACCCAAGAACATCTTGTTAGAAAATGTCAATTCAGTGTTGTACTAGTTGAGACAATTTATAATTTTAAAAATTATACAGCCATCATCAGATTCTGCCTCAGAAGGAAACAACCAAAGAAAGCAAGGGGCAAGCAGTAAACATACTGAAAACCGTGGAACACACTCTCTGTTAGGTACATTCCATCATTTATATCATTAATCTCACAAACATGCTACTATAGTCCCCATTTTAAGATAGAAAAATTAGGGTTGAAAAGGTTATATAATTTGTTCTATGTTAGTCTAAGGGTAAAGGGAATGCCAGGGTTTAAACCTAAATTATTAGACCCCAAAGTCTATGCACTTTCACATCAAAGAGGGAGAAGAAACTGCCTTGTGAAAGGCATGGAGCTACCTAGTAAAGGTAAGAGGGCAGCATTAAAATGTTTCTGTGGAGATGGCTATTATGAAGGGGGGGAAAGGGAGATGTCTTTGAAAAAAATGCCCATTAGCTTAGGGGAAAAAAAGCAATGCTCAGAAAATACGTGAAATGTCATGTTAAAGTAGCAAGGAAAGCCAGATTAAATGAGAATTAATCTTCATAGTGAAAATAGTTAAAAGTAGCTGAGAAAGAACCCAAGGACAATAAGAGAAAATTTACTGTAAAAATTCCGAGGAGAATGAATTTAAAAATATGTACTGCTTTTTCTGATTCTAAAATAAATATAACTGCATAAAGTGTGGAAAATATAGAAAAGGTTATAAAATAAGGTAAAGATTACAAGTAATTTCACCATCCAAGGATAAGTAGTAATATCTTTTCAATGCATTCATCATATTCATTTGTAAGAATTAATCATCTTCAATATAATCTCCTATATTTGGGTCATTTATGTTGCTTCCAATTTTTATCCTAATAAAGTTGTTCAAACATTAACAGGTATTCATTTAGAATTAATATGTTATAATTATACAAGTAATAGTTGATAATTTTCACTATCAGTAACCAAATATTGCAGTATAATTAGTGGCTTATTGTATCTACTTTTTGTCACCACTCTAGATAAAACCACTACATCGAATATCTGTATTTTGATATCTTTATATGTATTTAAATGCACAAAACATCTGTATTTTATAA